GTTGCATACGCGTCACTTCCACGAGGTGTTGGTGTCACAGGAGGAAGGGACCATAGCGGAGGATAGAAAGCTTGCGCAGGAAAGGAAGGTCCCGGCGGTTGACGGGGGACTAATCTGGTAATTTATAAAAGATAGAATCTCATTCGTCGCTGAGGACAAAGTTTCACCTCTTGCCTTCGGTCCATGTTAGCCGTTAGTGTGCGGAAGCCAGTTGGGCCATCCTGCTCTTGAAGCCCAACAATGGCTTCTTGTTGGGACATCATCCGTAATATTCACCAGGTCGCGGCCGATGTTGGCTGCACTTGGACTTTCATATGATTAGGAAAAACCAGAAAAAGTTGTCTCTTAGTTGGGATGTCGGGGGCACGGGACGTGCCAACCACCTTTCGAGGTATTTGAATTCTAGCATTGTTGGAGTCGGTTAAACATAAGAAGAATGATCATTCACAAAAAGTATCTTTACAAGAAAGTTAGTCCATTCGATAATATTGCTTCCGTAGAGACTGAACTACTAAGAAACAGTTTCAATTTCGTATTCCGGATTGTAGGGTTTAAAAAAGGACCTCCCATGGAAAAACTGCTTCCTTTGCATATGAATTCATTTTGAAATTACACATTACTCAATGGTTGAACTAAAATTAACAGAAACAAGTGAACATTGAAGAGTAGGAATCATAATGATAAGGGAAACAAAAAGTTTCCAAACTTTTGACCGCTACTGTATATTCAGCTGATTTGTCCTTGATTAGTTCTCATTACGATGGTTGTGTGTAAGCAATACGCTGATGACCTGAATTTCTATAAAGTTATAAACTCCCCACAGGATGCCCAGTCCCTACAGCCCTTATCAACGACGTAAGCAAACCAGCCCTTTTGGCGCTTCGGCTGGGACCGTATGCTGAATGTTGGGGAGGGGATGGAGTCCCCGACGGTGGACGGACCACTTCAACTCGGTCCTTAGAACCGCCACAATTTGGTGCTTACCTCAGAACTAAGCCTTAAAGAGAGGACGGGTCCGTCCCCTCTCCAAGGCTTAGTCCTGGGGTGAGCAAACCAGCCCTTCTGGCGGAGCTGCTGGACCAGCTGCACCACTTGCGTCAGTACTCTCCTATCGTACCAACCGAGTTGAAGTAAACCGTCGACCGTTGGGGACCAGGGTCAACCCTATCGTTGTTACTCTTCGGAAATTTTTTACGACCCCCCCCTTCATGGGGATTTGATACGACCCCCTTTGTATGTGACACTTGTGTAGAGACAGTGTTTACCATCAATATTTATTTCTACGTAAGTCATCAAAGATGAAACTTTAGCAAAATCCACGACAGATATTCATCGCTGCTTCCAAACACGAAAAAATGAGATGCATTCAAAGATATCCGTGTACTCCAAAGGGTTACCAAACTAGGAGATGAAATAAACTGAACCAGTGACCGGAATATTGACAATATTACCTGATAAAAACTTATGAGAAGTCAGAAAAAATTATCGCTCCAATTGAAATACTGAAATCCTTCACGTTCTTCAATTGCAACACAATTTTTACACCCCTCTTTCTAAGGCTATAACTTCCTTCATATTCGAGCTTCTGCGCCGAAGTGATTTGATTTGGAAAATTCAAATTATTCTCTCTCCAACCATATAAAATTCTTCGAAAGTTAATTTAATAAAAATTTAGTACGTTGTTACTTTTTTCTGTGCAAAGCGACTTTTTGACCTTCAAACGATCATAACTTCCTTCAAAGTCATTCATTTGGGAAGCTGAACACGTATAATAAACTACAGGATTCAAGCTTTCTAACGAGCACCCAAGCGTTCCTGAAAAGATCAGTAGTTCAAAAATTAGTCCCGTTGTTACTTTTTTGGGGGTTTGCGTTACTATTTTTTTGGAACCGCGACTTTTTGACCTTCAAACGATCATAACTTCCTTCAAAGTCATTCATTTGGGAAGCTGAACACGGTATAATAAACTACAGGTTTCAAGCTTTCTAACGAGCACCCAAGCGTTTCCTGAAAGATCAGCAGTTCAAAAATTAGTCCCGTTGTTACTTTTTATTTTGAGGGGTATTCTTCAAGCCATTTTCTCGAAAACGCGAGTTTTCTTAGGTTTCACTGCCCGTAACTTCTTGGAAGACCAATTTCATGTTTAATTTAGGATGTGCTAGAAAGCTTCGAGCATGCGCTTGCACTACATCCCTTGCCTTGGTGCGCGCCACGCCTCGGGCGCCCTTCTAATTCGCTGATTCATTTGAAAGCTCATTTAGAGGGAATCGTGGTTTATAGATGCTGTATCAGTCATCTTACGAAAACGTAACGTGCTGGCTATTATCCGATATTACCAAGAATCCCACTGTCGGCCACCGAGAGGGTACGACCCCCCTCCCTCCAAGCTCAACTGAGTACGACCCCCCGTTGTTACTCGTAACAACGTAGGGTTGACCCTGTTGGGGACCCCGTCCCCTCCCCAACATTTAGCATACGGTCCCAGCCGATGTGCCAAAAGGGCTGGTTTGCTTACGTCCTTATCAACAGTCTTGTACAGTGGTCCGCAGATTGGCAGATTCCTCTTTCCCCAACCAAATCCTTTCACATGCACTTGGGTTCTCTTAGAGCGTCCAATAACTTCATAAATAGGAAGCAGATTTTGAAGGTTAATGAGATTAAGGACTTAGGGTTCCGATACAACGAATAAGCTTGACTTTTCTCAACATTGCAAGCTAATTTACAAGAAAGCGTACCACCGAACCTATCAAATTTTCAAAGCTCTGACAACCAAGGACAGTAGAACACTCATTCCAGTATACAAAACTATGTTCGGCCTTTAGTAGAGAACGGGACCGTGGTTTTCTGTCCGCATAAAAAGAAAGACATTGCTTTGATTGAGAAGGCTCAAAATAATTTCACCAGGAAAATGCTGGTTCGTCTTGGAGGCTTTCTGTACTCTAGGAATACCAAAGGCCGAAATACGGAACAAATTTTATAATCTTCCTTCTCTTCAGTCTAGACGAACTTTCTTTGACCTATGCATGATTCACAATCTCCTCGGCGACAGATCCGCGGTTAAGATTTCTCAATTTTACAGCCTTATTCCATCTATCACTAGGGGAGGTCAGCTTAAATTGTCATTTTCCAGACCTAAAACCACCACTAGGCGCACCTTTTTCACGGTTAGGGCAGGTCTTGCATATTTACGTTTCAGTAAATCCAACTGCTTCTCAGGCTCTCGGGCGTCTTTCAGACGCTCAATAGCAAAACTCATAGAAAAGGCAATACTTTTTTATTTCTAATTTAATTGTGATCTTGATTGATCAATGTTACCTCAGTGTCTAATGATGTTCTAGTTTTTTCTGGTGTTTGATTTCTAACATTGTCTCATACGAACGTATTGATAAATAAATAAATAAATAAATAAATGAATAAAAACACATCGTGGAACGCTGTCGGTCAGCGCTACAATGTCGACGTGTGGTCCTGTGCGGAAAGCTTGTTCTCAGTATTATATGCCGGATAGCCGACACTAGCGATGCCCATCGCGCTATTGATTGTTCCCTTCACACGTGAATCTCACATAGCATTTGGGAAACTGAGTCAACAGATGAATACGAAAATAGCTTATACTAAATGTATGTCCTAAGAAGTCGAAACGATAGGTGGTTTGTAGTCATCGTCGCGTGGTCATGGATCATCATTTTTTGGAAGTGCGTTATTCCTTGCTTCTGCATTTCTGCAGCATTGGGGTTTTGTGCATTTTCCCGCCGATTTTTCGGTTACGTTTTTTGATTCTCCTTTTACTGTTACTAGTCGTTTACTCGCACGTGTGACATTATGAATGTGAGGGGATGATCGGTTTGACAGTTCGACATCATTCTTGGCACCTGGAATATAACAGGGCTTGTGTTTTGCATAAAGGGATGATGGAATCAAACATGAAGTCCGATTGGCTTAGCGCGCCTCTTGCCGTTAGGCTGCTGTGTGATCAGTTTCTAATGATCAGCTCGAAAGTTTCTGTATTATTTTAGCCCACCGTAAATAGTGGCAAATGCGATGGGATCGTGGCCATCGCCCGAGGAGGTGGCTCGGCAGGGCCTTCGAGCGGCCACGGGCCATATCCTCGAGAATATTGGCTTCTCATCGGTATCCGGAGATTCTCTAAATGTGCTCACCGATGTTATGCGCCGATTCATGATCGAATTATGGTCTCGAAGTAAACTCTTGGCCGAGCATGGTAAGCATGTTCGTGTATCAGATATTCTCTATCCAGCATTATCTGTTATGCAAATTGTGATGAAGTCGGGTATGAGACTACTTCACAAAATGCTAATACCTGCTAAATTGGATTATTTTTAAAACACTGCCAGGTATTGTATGCAATCGTTATTGTTGAGGAAAAGTTCCTTATGAACAAGTCAAATCAAAAAGTAATAGTTCGACATTAAGTCATGGTTTGATACAAAGTTTTAGCTGGTCGTACCGAAATATGCCCTGATGACATGAACCTCACCTTCAGTAGGTTGAAATTTTCACCTGTGGAAATGCGTGATTACTTGCTGCAAGTTGGGAACGTTGGTCATCCTAAACCGGTAAGCACTTTCCAGTCGGATGCACTAATGAAATACACATTTTCATATCATTTCACCCTTTTCAGCTATGCCAGTTTCCCGTCGCTCATCCTAACATGAGACCATTATTCGCTCCTCAACCAAGTGCGAAGGAATTGGAAGTTTGTTTTTAATTTCTTGCGTCCCTTGTGTTGTTTTATAGACACGGCCAAGTTTTAATTTCGAAAACTTTTCTTGCTGTTTTGAAGTTTTTTTTTCGTTTTTTTCCGTAGTTTTCCTGTGGCTGCATCTTTTCCCGTGTATTGAAGGGCACTAAAATCGCGAAGCTTATTTGTTCTGAACCGTTGTCTTGCTGTTGAGGATGTTTGCCTTTATCCGAAAGTTTTTTGGAGAGGATATCTTTATATTAATGGGAAATAGTTTCCAAAAAATGTGGATGCAAAACGGAAAGGCTTTCGTGTCTTTGAGCAAATTAAATATAGAGAATGCGAAATTGTAGGTTTCAGCAGCTCTTCCTCACTTTTATAAGCAGCTTGAGTTCGTATTCTGTGTGCCCCATCTTCTTTGATTTAAGAACCGTCCTGAGCACATCCCTCCGTTTTATCCTGCTGCCCATCCGGAATGGACCACAGAAGGTATGATTTTCGCTTTTCCCCTCCGTGACGCTGCTAATGTCGCTCATATTTTCAGGAGCCGATTATCTTGCAGTCATGAAACCATCAACCTCTGTTGAGAAAAAGGGGTACGCATGATATTGTAATTTTAAGTTTAACAACCCCTCATCAACAGAGTATTTATTTGGAAAATATCTTTTCACCTCACTCCAGAGGACCGGCGGATTTCCCTGACTTCTCAAACATGGATGCAAAATCTCTCGGGTTGTTAAGACGTGGTCATGAAGAGCCTTCTTTCCTGGATACAAGTAAGGATCATAGTTCTGCAACCGGTTAGTTCCACACAGATCTTATATATATATGTTTATTTCTTTTGTATTGCACTGCTTTACTTTTACTACTGCTACTTCACTTTTTACTAAATCACTTTACTTTTACTCTACCTTTTTTGTTTATTTATGAGCTTTTATACTTCTTTCGTTGTTATCTTTTGTATGTTCTTTTCTGTAGGGGGTGGTTCAAAAGAGGAACGTATTTTTTTCCAATTCTCTTTGTCTAGGCTTTGCGAGAGCTCTACTTTTTCTATTCGCGTGTATGCCATTGTTTTTTTTTTAATTTTTTATTATTTCGTACGTCTCTAGGTATACGAAGTAGCGCCAATCTCTCTTCGTTGAAGCTTCAACAAAGCGGTAGTAATGAATTAACTGTCAATATTTCGTCGCCTAAGAAAAAGGTCAAAGGAAGTGGTAGCTACGTGAGTTTCTTCGAATATTCCTTCAATCGTCAAAATTTTCTATTCTTTTCTTCAGAAGGATCTTCATGGTAATTGTTCTCCTTCACCCACGCCTTCGCCCTTGTCCGCTCATCACGTCAAACGCCCAGAACAATCAACTAGTAGATCGGAAGTAAGAATGAAATCACCATTAGCTCTTTATGCTTCGATTTTATGAATCGATTTGTAGTCACCTTCATCTCGGGTAACTACACTGCCTCGGAAACAGGAACAAAAGCCTCCAAAAATACCGTATAGTAAAAATAAGAAGGTGGGGCAGTAATTTGTGTAGATTAGTTGTTTATCTTTCATCTTTTCTTATGCTCATCTTTATTTTGTTAGAATGCTGTTTTGGAAGTGGACACTCCCAGCTCTTCACCTATGCCGAAGCTTGGGAGTCAAAATACTCGTATGTCGTTTAAAATTTCTGTGCTTTCTTACTTTCTTTGTTTACTGTGCTTGACAATAATTATTCCTTTTTCTTTTGATGATCCTACTAACGTTCTTAAATTGTTCTTTGTTGTCAGACTAGGCGCCATCACTGGAGCACAAACTCGTAATGTCCCCTCTGTTTGGATGTTACTGCATCACTCCACAATAAGTGCATATGTATACTTCTCTAAAGCACATGAAACTAGGAATTCGCCGCGGTCAATGCGATTGTTTCCTAGTGTCTCATTTGAGCAGGAACGTATTGCAGCACGACGGAAATCGGCGGAATTGTTAGTGATCGGAGCCTAGAAGACAAATTTTCGAGGGATGCTTCCTTACTTTTACTTTCCTTTCATGAAGTTAGGCTTTCGACTTTTTTCCCTGAATCACTACACTCAAATTTTATAACACATTTTCGTCTTACTTTCCTTGCAAAAGAGTCGTGTAAAACCAGTACTTGAACTAAATTCGCGTTGATTTCTCGCATGCCCCACTGCATGGTGATCAAAGCAGTTGTCCGTCGGTCCTTTTTGCAGTGCCGATATAAGCCGCTGTGACGAGATTTCAGCAGTTAAAATGCTCTATTTGATATCATTATCGCAACAGGTAATGATATCAAATATGAACGCTTGAAGGCTTTTTCCATAATTGTTTCGTTGGAATAAACCCTCTAGAGAATGAGGCAGCTAGGTCGCCAGAGCTAGAGCCTCTTTTGGTCCCAGAGCGCGTAGGGTTGTTTCTCAAAGTTTTCGTATATTTCATCCACCTCCTAGACTCTTCCCCTTGCTAGGAAACACCTTTCTACCCCTATAAACGTCCATATACCACCCTCCTCAAATAAATAGCACATATGACCGCCATTTTGGCAAATTATCAGCAGACGGTTGATCCTGCCTGCAACCGTGCGCAAGCTACACACTCATGCACGCACCTATAGCAGAAAATGTTTGTTCTTCTTCTCGTTTTTTTCCTGTGCGCGCAGCGTCTCTTATACGGTCTTTCTCGAAGGCGATCCCTGCTTTCATTGCTTTCGCTGCCGTCTTTGCCTTTTTTCATAACGAAAACCTCGCAGCTCCTTTATTTTCAAGTGAAACAGCCACATTTTGCTAATTATGATGTACTCCTTCTAATGATTCGCTCAAACTGAATTGGCCGTCTTGCCTAAATGATTTGTTAAGTTGTTTCAAGTTTTGAACATATTGTTATTGTTCGTAAGAAATTTATTTTCTATCATGTACGTGCAGAACATTTTCTCCCTCTACATCTACAAGTACTTCATCGACAGGTTTCTTTTCAGCCGACTTGGTATGCGCAACCTCAGAACCTGCAGCACGAATCTCTCCTGCTCTCAAGTGAGACATTTGTCTTCATTGTTTTTGGAAGTCTTTATTGAAAGTCGCTGTCCGGTCTAAACGATTACTGTGGCAATGTTCTAGGGAAAATGTGCAGCAAAGTGTTCTCGGACCGGAGCCTCCTCTTCCCTTTCAAAAGTTGGTTCTTTCGCAGGTCGAATATTTTTGCTCCTCCTTAATAGTTTCACTAATGGATGAATTCAGTTTGTTGCTTGCAAATGTGAACGACGAGGTGAAAAAAGAGAAGAAGCAAAGAGAAAAAAAGGTGAAACAGAAAGATAGACGAAAGGTGAGTGCCAAAGTAGCTTAGATGTCTTGATGAACTCTTAAGAGAGTTGCCATTCTAGAAGCAGCAAGAGGAGCAAGATGTGGTTAAGAAAGAGCGAGAAGCACTTGAGCAATTACGGCTAGCTGAGGAGCGTTTAGAAATGGAACGAGCCGAGCAGCGAAAAGCTGAGGAAAGAGCTCGGTTACATTTACTGGAACTCGCTCGTGACACGGCCACTCCGCCTATGAGACAAGATTTCCCGGATGGTCAGTAAACATCATTTCTCATATCTTTACTGCGTACATCTGGAGAAAGTAGCCGTCTCTAGCAGATAATTTTAGCATCGCCGAAGCACTTAAAAATCGTGATAAGTAATCCTCACAGTGACTCGGCCAGCTCTGCTTTTTCACCGCCACGTCAGTTTCTTATTTATATGCTTATGCACATAGTACGTATTTAGTGTTGTGGGAGCACAAGTAAAATTTTGGCAATGTATGTTGCCACTATAAAAAAAAACTTCGATCATAATTTTAGAATGGTTGTGAAACCGCTATAAAACAAATGAAGCTGGGTACACTGTGAGGGCTCACAATTCGCAGTTTTGTGTTGCAAAGTTGAGAATTTTTCAAACAGGAAGTGGAGGGTCTTGGTAGGACATATTCTGATGATTAGGTTGGAAAGAAAGTCCTGCAACACTTTTTCAAATTTTTGATTTTAATTTTATCTTTTTTGTTTACAACTCCTGACCGGTCTATATCTACCATGAGTGTCCACCACTTGTCTTCAACGCTCAGAAAATTTCTTGATGCTCCTTTTCCAAAACCCAGCGGAGTGCGGGTCGAGAAAGGAGGCGACCTCACTTTCGAGTTGGAGTTGATCGTCTAATTATTTCGTCATCAAGATGATTTAAGGTCCAGGATAGGTGGCAGTCATTTATAGCTCGACCAGGGGAATACGCTAAGAGAGGTAAGAAATCTTGCCGCAGCTCCAGAATTTCTTACCGGGCTCATTTCGGATCATGGTGATTCGCAATGTCATGAAAGAAATAAATATTGTCGCGGTACGAGGGCTCCTGACGAGCTGCCTCGGCCAGCTTCTGGAGTTCCGCAGCCTAGACCTCTACCTACACAATGGTGCCCATAACGAAGAATTTGTAGTGGAGCTTCCGTAAGAGCCCTACCTGTAATGGAGTGTGAGGGACGCTGCTGGCTTCTTATAAAAATATCAAAAGATCGAAAGCGCTGGTAAAGGTGAAACACGCTGTAGCGGTGAACGGCATGCCTATTGAAGCTATTGCAGATAGTGTCGGTCGTTGACACGAATCCATAGTTATGGAGACATTTGTACTAGACAGTGACTCGGAGTATGGATTTACTAGTGGTCGAGGTTTTTTGAATTTTCTTGGATAACTACTGACTGCAGCACTTATATCCACCTCGTGGATTGAAGCCTTGAGAATGCTCTACTAGTCATAAATGTTACCTATGAATTTTTCAGAAAAAAAGAAAATTTTAGAAAGAGTGTTGCAGAACTTTCTTTCCAACCTAATATTTCACCTATTCTTTTACACGTCTTAAGTGAGCTGGTTTAGTGAGCTGGTCTTTTTTCAGCTCCCTGCTATGTTTTTGTTTGAGTGTTGATCAATTATTTTTGTCGCTATTGCACACAATATCCTACATATTTTGCTGAAGCACATCTAATGCGCTCATTAGCTCTAATTCGAAATTATTGAATTCGCCCGGAAAATAGATGAAATTCCTGAAAATGAAATAATTTTCTTATTGCCCTGCATAAGCAAAATTCGGTGCTTTTTGGCTTAGAGGGGGTCGAAGTTGTCGTTCGCGATGAGATATGTATCAGTTGAAGCCTATTCGTACACTTATCAATCTACTTTTGATAAAGGATTTTCTGAACAAATTTATGGTAGAGACTGTTGGAATATGGAGCAGACACGAGCTCGCAGGAATATGAGACGCATTCAGCATGGAAGTAAGCAAACCAGCCCTTTTGGCGTTTCTGCTGGGGCCGTATGCTGAATGTTGGGGAGGGGATGGGTCCCGACGGTCGACGGACTACTTCAACTCGGTCCTTAAACCGCCTCAATTTGATGCTTACCTCAGGACTAAGCCCTTGGGGTAAGCAAACCAGCCCTTTTGGCGGAGCTGCTGGACCTAGCTGCACCACTTCGTCATCACTCTCCTACCGTACCGACCGAGTTGAAGTAGTCCGTCGACCTCGGGGACCCCATCCCCTCCCCAACATTCAGCATACGGCCCCAGCAGAAACGCCAAAAGGGCTGGTTTGCTTACCTCTTCAGCATGGATGGGCCACGGGGGCATTGTGGTTACTCTGTCGGCCCAGTGTACGCGAGGTCCAGGGATTGGATCCTCGGTGCGCTAGGTTTTTGCATTCTTATAGAAATATTCTCTTACATTCAAAAATCATCGTTTCATAGTCAAGAAACCTAATTTTGCCGAGAATGGCCGTTTACGAGAAAAAAAAACGTTCAATTCAAACATGACTTCAGACACAAAGCATCACTAATTTAGCTAAACATGCGTAACTAAATGTGTCCTCAAAACGAATCCCATACCCGCTTTGCATGAAAGCACTCATTCACATCCTTTAACGAAACCATTGCGTGTACGGCAACCCTAAAGAGAACTCAAGAACTTGCGCTTGTACCATATGCAGCTGGTGTTTTCGCGTCGAACGGGTGCAATATTCATGTTTAGGAGCTTGAACTACATCTATTTAGCACATTTATCATCAAATTGAGATCTTCACCCTCGCATCGAAAAAATGGTGTAGCCTAGGGAGTGGTCAGACACCCTTCTGGTCGCTGGCTTTTTCGGCGCTAACTCGTCAGCTTCGTCCTAACCATGCCTGAAAATCTGACGTCTTCATCACGAATATGGCGTCAGGTTGAAGGAATCCTTCTGGGAAAAATCGCGATTCCTTTTACCCATAATTCACTGGCATGGACCGTCTTTTGTTCACCAACGAACGAAAAGAGCGAAAAATTGCATTTGTTTTGGTAAAAATTCGAAAAACCGAAAGGGCTGCTACGTTCAAAGTACCGCCGGACATCTGTCACAAATGCTGGCGACGGGAATGCTTCCACTTGGTTCTTGGAGTGCCGTCACTAGAAACTCTTTCTGGCCTTTTGACTTTGACTTATTGCATTCACATCTCACACTTCTACTGCATCCTATTCTATCGATCGATTTGTCTCTACTCAAAATCGCACGCTTTAACCCGATTCTTTCATTGCGTCGCCTGATACGTAGCCGCCCAAGGCGGACTTCTTTCCATGCCCCGCCTTTGGCTCCGCGCCACTTACCTTCGATTGTCCATAGAGTGTGGTTTTTGTAAGTTTGTTTCTCTTCGGAAACTGAATCTTCGTGCGTGAAACTTTGTATGTTGTCTCTAGTGATCACAACTGACATGCGTGTTGGGAAAGAATGCAAGGGTCTTCCGGGAAAAATTCTTTCGAAAGCTAATTTCGCATAAGCGATAGATGAATGAATAACATCTCTTCTTAGGTTTCTAATGAACTTGGTTTGAAACATTTGTGGCTTCCAAAGGTGTCAGCGCTAAAGGCGTGGCCACTATTCGCGTTTATCTCCCTCAACCTCCTCCATAGATGGAGCTCCTACAAGAAAAATCTTCTTGCCACAGAAGTTGCAGTCGTGGGCTGGCGTCGGAGACATCAACGACTAGAGGGCCGCACCACCCATGTTTATCCCTGTTGTACCACTTTCCGATGTAAGGGTCTAAGTCTCGGTCTGTCTAGAAATATGTCTGAAGTTAGTCTGGTTCCATGAACGTGACTGTTACTTTCGCTTCGCCTGAAAACGCTTCAATGTTATGCTGCGTACGCTTGTGCGCAGCAATGGCAATGTCTGACAACTCAAAGGGAAATGTGAATGTGAAAAATGTCCAATAATCCACCTGCTATTAACGTCCTACGAAAAAAGCACAGCAAAATATGCGAGCATATCCGATCCTCTGTCATCGATCCCACAAATCTGCCTCTTTAAGTGCTGGGCCATCGTACTAAATACATGTGCTACAAAAACCTTCGTAGTTTTGTTTGCAACGTCGTACAGCAGGTACAAAAGGCAAATTTAGAATCAGCGTCCGAGAATGCATCAGATGATACACATCTCATCCCAACGGCTACTTCGATCTGCCATCCTTTTCTTGTCAGAGGAGAAATGAAATTTAGTATACGTTTTTTATTTTCAAGATTATGCGCTCATCTTTGGAGGTCTCAACCTAATCCTGGTGCTCTCTTACTTCTACTCATAACAGGAATTTTGGAATACTTGGTTATGGTTTTACAATTCTCAAAAGTGGCTGCGATTCTTGTAAGAGAGCCACTAAGCGCTATAAAATCAAACCCTAGCTTTCACCGTCGGAGGAGGGGAAAGCAACCCAAATCGTAATTCTAATACAGTTGCCGTATGTCGAATAAGTGCTGGTATTGTTGCTAGTTATAGTAGAAAATCTAACAGTTGAAGGGGGTTGACAGGGGTTTACTACAATTTCGGAGCGTTCTAAAAATAAAGAATTTCTAGTAAAAAGACTGTAAAAGGTGTGAATGAGCTGGGAGCAAGAATTGTAGGTTTTTCCAATTTACTTCTAATGGTGTAAGTTAGGATCAAAGATGCTTTGTGGATAGTTAAACATTCACTCGCAAATTGAGGGTATCCAATGGTTTTGCTGCGCAATACATATCCTTCCTCGTATTATAATTTGCATGTGTTTATATCGTAATACCAAGAAATTTCTGTAGAAGGAAATGTGTTCATTATTTTTAAAATTTTAAGCTTCAACTCCACAAGCCATCGCTGACTTGCAACTTCCTAATCCCTCACCGACCGCAGGTAAACAGTGAAATTCCAAATCCACCAGCTCTTACTGTAGGCTTCGCGGATTTATTCGTTGGCAAGAATTTGTGCTTTATTATCCCCAGTCTAGGTTCATTTGCTACTCGGTTTTCTATAATGACATGCATGGCGTTGTTGCGGTGGTGAATGCTTTGCAACGAGGTTTCCTGGGTCCTGTCTGGCACAGAGAAAATGAGTATTTCGAGGGCCCTATATTCGGGAACTTTGTCATAGGCTCTTGATTTGTAGTCCAACACTTGCCAACGCAATACACATGGAAGTCATAAAAAATCATGGGCTGTCCTCACTGCCTTGTGTCACACATCTTTTGCGTGTGTAAGGATATGCCTATATATTTTTTCTTTCAAATTTTTGTTGA